TTCGCGCACTTCCGTGTACCCCTGGTGTGCCGCCAAACGCACGAGACCATCGCGATATGGCCACATAGCTCGCACGCAACATTCTTTGAGTTGAAGATGCTGGACGGGAGAAACATATGCTAGGATGAGCTTGGACTCGCTGTTACCCATCGCTCCCGCGAGGGTGAAGGCATTGATTCTACCCCTGGGTCAAATCAGAAGCGATCGTTTCTCGTCCTTTATTGAGCGCCTGCGACCTGAACATGCCGTCTCCTTGCGGGATGTCAGCCCTGATGGGCGGCCGAACAGAAGCATGTCACCCCGTTCCCTGCCTTGCTTCGAGAACGCTCGCACTAACCGGCAATCTGTAGATATGTTTTCGCCTTTGGCCTTCCCTGATGGCGCCGTATTCTACGAACTTATAACCCACGTACCCCCACCTTCGCATCTCGCATTATCGCCGTTCGACTTCTACCGCGAACCCCTTGCGGTCATTGCAATCGCAGACGGAGACGAGCTCAACCGAGTCGCCTTTAACAAGAGACAATCTGGCAATGCGCCCACCGTTGCCGAACAAAATATCCGAACGCTGTACCAGGAGTTGGAGGACTTGAGAGACCGCTTCGGAAAGGCGCTGGTTCATCAAGTGCTGATCTTTGACCATGCGCTTTCGAAAGAGAACCCGGTGCCTTTACCTGAGGGACTCATCGCTATACCACCGCCGGACGAGTGCAAGCGGACAACCATGAAAACTATCATGTGCGACATCACCTCGCAGCTCCTGGCGGAAATGACAAGCCTAGCCAAGTCATTTGAGGCCTGGTCCTTTATCGAGTCTCCCGGACAGTCACAGTCAACCAGGCAAACAAACGGCGCGTCATGGGGCGCGGACGACTTCGGCTCGGCAAACAAAAGGGCATCTCAGTTTATTCCAGGCCCTCAGAGATCAAGCTCGACCAGTGGTATTCCGGATCGGCACATGAATCGCATGTCTATGCCAGTTGCGCCTATGAAGCACAACTCGGCTACATCCTCGAGCAACTCAACGCCAGCTAGACCATCGACTCCTGTGAAAAGCGGGTTGTCGAACCCTCCTACCACTTTCGATGACTTGGCTTCCGGCATGAGCAGTGGCTCTTCGACTCCTGACCGAAATTCAAGGCCAGGTGCCGGAGACCACTTCAGGTCAGAAAGTTCAGATCGAGTATCGGTGCAAGGATTCGGCCCCGGTGGTCTAAATGATCGCTTCAGAGCGAAAGGGAAGGGCAGAGTGACGATCCTCATGGGATCTTTATATCTGCAAGCAGGTCGGTGGACCGATGCTCTGAAAGAACTTATAGACGGCGCAACAGTAGCGAGGTCCATTAACGACCACATATGGCACGGCAAGGCACTGGAGTTGATTACTCTTTGTCTGCTGCTTCTAGGATGGGTCAAGGTCGACTTTCAGGTCCCTTCTATTTGCTTACCCCCACAAGACAAATCTACGGCCGCGACATATGCTGCCCTAGAAGCTGCAACCCCGACTGATGCAGGCCAGCCTAAGCATATTCGAAACCTTCAGATTATACTGCCAGACCTTTTGGACCGTATCGCCGGGCTGTACTCCCGGATATCCGCTGAGCATCTGCCTCCTTTACCTTTGGCGGAGACGACTATTCGATTCTCCAAGATTTTGTCTGCTTTGCACCTCGCTGACGGAAAGCTCGGAGAGCGTGCCTACGAGACCATCATCTTTGGCAAGCTGCCCTCGACCCCTCTGACAACCTCGCCCCGGTTGACCGTCGTCCCGAGCCGACAGTCCATCGTCACATTTCTCTTCCGCGCATTTCCTGCCTCTTCGTCGGAGCTTCTCACCATCGCGGATAGAGTTTCCATTCTAGCAGGAATCGCGTCTGTTCTTGGACCTCTCGGCCATCATCGCAAGAAAGCCATGGTCACTAGAGAACTCGTTTCCGTCCTAATCAGCGGACTGGTTGAGGCACGCACACGTGGGGCTGCAGACATGGGTATACACCCTGCGGCTGGCCTGGTAGCTCTGAATGCTGCCAACGGACACAGCAATAGCGCGATAGCACTCGAGCTAGGCGAAGGCGACGTTGAACAGGGCATCGAGGCATTCCTGGCCCTTCTGTGCAAGTCGTACGGTGTTGTCGGTTTCGACATGAAGAAACAACCAGCAGATGATGCTATCTCAACGGAGGACTCGGACGCTGCTGTCATCGATAGAATTCGGGGACAGGCAGCTGCGAGATTCTTTGGGTTCACCAGTGTCAAGTTGAACATACTGAGAGCATGCATCAACTTCTCCGAGGCATTGCCTGACTTCAATGGTGTATTGAAGTTTTCTGGTGATCTACTCCGCACAGCTGGCTCAGGAGTTGCTCCTGGCCCCCGCAAAGAAGATGCGTCACCGGTTATTACTCGCGACGAACAGACACGGTTGGCCACAAATATTTCAAAGACGTCAAATCTCGCGAAAAGATTAGGCCTCAATCAGCTCGCGGCGGAGTACTGGGATGAATTTTTCGTCCGTGGTGTCGCCTTGGAACCACTGCCGATTACTAGAATCCCGGTCCCGCATGCCAAAAGCACACTTCCTGGAGCAGTAACCGCAAGAACTTCTCAAGACGTCAATCCCTTTATATACAACCCATTCCTTAAGCAGCCCGATAAAGCTGCTGACCACCTTCTCGTTGCGAACGAACCCGCAACCTTTAGAGTTACTCTTCAGAACCCGTACGACATCGAGGTCGATGTCGAAAGCCTTCGCTTGGACACTAGCGGTGCAGAATTCGAATCAAACTTCGAGAGCACCATTATTGGCCCGTACCGAACGCAAATTCTCAAAGTCTCGGGAACACCAAAAGGATCTGGTGCCTTGAAGGTAACAGGCGCAATCATCCGTGTTCGTGGTTGTCGCGAGAGACGATTCCCCATCTTCAAACAGCCATGGACGCCGCAAGCAGATGTCAAGGTCAAAGCTACCGGACTCCAAGCATTGGAGACCACCCTCGCCTCGGGAGCACTTGTTGGTCAACCGCTGAAGGTGGAGAGCGTTGCGTTGAACGTCATCCCCAAACAGCCCATTGTCATTGTCAAGTCGACGACACTCCCCCAGTCTTCCGTCATGGTGCTCGAAGGAGAGAGACAGGTCTTCTCCGTCACCCTGCAGAACCTCTCTCGAACAACACCGGTGGACTTTATGCTTTTCTCTTTCCAGGACTCCACACAAGGGCCGTTGCAAGCAGGCATCAACAATAGAGATGCCACGCCGGCCGAGTTGTACGAATACGAGTACATTCTTATGAGGCGCCAAGGTCTTCGAAGGCTGAATAAGAAGGAACCAGAGAAGCGATACATTGCTCCGGGAGGCACTGCCACATTTGATTTCGAAATCCTTGGCAAGCCTGGGCTGACGAACGCTGCCATTCAGATCGATTATGCCCATCTCGGGGTGCCTCCTGAGGAGGTGACGGACAAATTCCATACCCGACAGGTCTCGCTGCAGTTGACGGTGACTGTGAATGCAAGCGTCGAGCTCACGCGACTGGACATCCTGCCTCTCAGCGGACCTGTACCTAAGCCGCTTCTCAGCCTGACGAACCTAGAGTCGAAGGTTGATCCGTCAACATTGGCAGAAGAATACTGCCTCTTGTCTATGGATCTACGCAACGCCTGGCCGAACAATATGGAGGTCGAAATGGACGGTGAGGACGGCATTGTGATTGAGGAGCACGTTTTCCCAGGGAATACCAGTCGCGTCATTGTGCCCCTACGGCGCATATATCTTGAGGACCCTCACGCATCGATCCCGGCACTCAACCCATCAAGACAGCGGCAATTTGTTGTCAGCACAAGCAAGATTACGCCCGACATGGAACGCTCGAATCGTGAAGCATTCTGGATGAGGGAGAGAATCCTCGAGACGCTTACAGCTAGATGGAAGACCGTATCTGGCCCAAAGCGAAGCGGTTACATAGACCTGCGAACTATCAGGCTTTCACCTAGGATGATGGACGCTCTCAGGATTGATGATGTCGGTATCGAGATATCGGTTCAGGACCCGGGCCAGACTCTAGGCGAAAAGGCCAAAGAGACGATACTCGTCGACAACTTTGTCCAAGTCAAGGTTGGTATCACAAATAGGTCGGCCAAGCCAGTCTATCCGATGTTGAGACTGATGCCAGCCTTGTGCCATCGTCCGCTGAACGTGGCGTTGGATTTCACGCGGAAATTTGCCTGGAACGGCACTCTGCAGCAGGCACTTCCGCTGTTGGCGGCTAAGACGAGTACGGAAGTGGAGATTCAAGCCATGGCACTCTGTCGAGGGGAGTTTGAAATAGGGGCTTCCGTTGAGGAGTATCAAATCTGGGAAGAGCCAAAGGAAAAGAAGGAGAAGGAAGAGACACAGGAAAGCCGACAGCGATCGGACACTCAGACGATGCTCAACGCGATCATCGGTGCGAAGGAAAGGCGCATATGGCACTCAAGGCAACCCTGCATCATCAAGGTGGTGGACCAGGATTAGCGATTTGAGCCATTTGCATGACGAACTGTACGATGGCGGACGTGTAGAAGAAGTGATTTACACCATAAGGGTGGAATTGGCGATCGCAGCGGGCTTTGTTAAGTAGATAATTGACTTCTTCATAGACGACTCAAGCCACTACTTACTTACCTAAAGTAGCTGTGACGGATTCAAGTGCAATCCAACCCAGGGATGACTCGATCAGCCCGGCGATCGAATTAAGCTCATCCCTGCGTCCCGAACAAAGGGCTCTCGGACGACTAATGCGTGGGTCTGACCGCCTTCTCGTTTCTGCTGTCGTCACCAAAATTTCTCAGGGAGCGGCTTCCGGTGCTAGCCGACAGCGGGCCTTTTTTTACCAACCCAAAGAGTCAGGTCGTTTCCGCCGTACAAGCTTTGGTCAAGCCATTCCCGTTTTGCGAGCGTTGCATCGAGGTTGTCGCTGTCGTCGTCGTCTAAAGGAAATCTGGGATCTCACTAATAACCAAGGATGACGCGACCTCAAATTCTGTTTCTCGATGCTTACGACTCCTTTACGAACAATATCGTATCCCTTCTCACAACGCTGCTTGACGCCGATGTGCACGTCTTACCGATTGACACGCCCTTGCTAGACCAACAGTCGCCGACGTTCTCGGTTGATTTTCATCGGGAATTATCACGGTATCATGCAGTAGTCTGCGGGCCTGGGCCTGGCTCTCCCGAGAATGAGACGGACGTTGGGCTCATGAGATGTATTTGGAGGTTGCAGGATGAGTATATTCTGCCGGTTCTTGGCATTTGCCTCGGGTTCCAGAGCCTCGTTCTTAGCTCGGGCGGCAAGGTGAGGAGGCTTCAACGCGGGTTGCATGGGATGGTTCGCACCATACAGCATGAGAAACCTGATGCGACGTGCGCCGAGGACATCTTCAATGGTGTCTCCGAGTTCAAGGCTACCCTTTATCACAGCCTGTGTGCCAACATCGGACAAGATTCCATCTCAGATTCCGCTTGGGCAGAGTGCCGTTGGCGTGCTCAGAAGACGGCTCCTGAGCTGTTGCCTCTGGCGTGGGTGGATGAGGAGAGGGACAGCGGCCGCGAGAGAATCCTGATGGCGGTCAAGCACCAGAGCAAACCCTTTTGGGGCCTCCAGTACCACCCAGAGTCCGTCTGCACCCAGCCGGTAGGCCATGCGGTCATCAGCAACTGGCTCCGCGAAGCCATGGCGTGGAATCAAAAGGCGAACAGGACCGTGTTGAGCGGAGAGCGGTTCCTGGCAAGGAATGCCGTGAAGCCGAGTCTCCTCTGCGAGAACCGTGCCGCGGCTCAGCGAGGGAACGCGCCGGTCCTCGAGTGGACGGAGATGCCCACGCCGCTGGCGACTGTCGGACTCGACTGCGAGTACAGATACAAGACCATCAGCCTTCCGGCGAACGCCAAGGTGCCGGATATCGTGGAAATACTAAAGAGCGGCAGGACGGAGCACATCATTTTGGATTCGTCCAACTCGAGCAACATGGCGACGGGCGCCGCAGACGTTCGGGGCCGATTTAGCATCATTGCGCTGGATATCGAGGAATGTCTGCGGATCGAGCACCACGTTGGAGACGATTTTGCCACGGCTCGTATCCCTTCGATCCAGGGACTGCCCGTCGACCTCGTGGAGACTGTTCCATTCGGATCGCGAAAGAACATTTGGCATATCCTCTCCGGCTTCCTTGAGAAGCGACGCATCCCGGCGTCAGGGGAGCTTCAGACGCCGTTCCGAGGTGGCTTCATGGGCTATCTTACCTATGAGATGGGACTCAAGGGGATCGACGTCACGGTGACTGCCGACAGAGGGCATCAGAGACCTGACTTATGCTTCGCCTGGGTTACGAAGAGTATTGTGGTCGATCACGTCAAGGGCCTGTTGCACGTCCAGCACCTTCAAAAGCGCAAGCTCAACGGCGACTTTTGGATCGACTCCGTGGTGGCATCGTTACAGACGTCCCACTTCTGGCAATCACCAGGCAAGGTCGCCATTAACGGTTCGGATGCTTCAACCGTAGCCACGAAGCCCATTATCCGAGTCCCTGCTGCCGACGAGTACGAAGCCAAGGTCTCTCGCTGTCAAGACTTCATCGCGGCCGGTGAGTCCTACGAGCTATGCTTGACGGACCAAACAACCATCACTCTACCAGGACGCCCAACGAGAGATCACAACAGCCTCGCCAACAGACACTCCCCAGCACAAAACAAATCCGCACACGTCGCGCCCTGGCAGCTCTACAAGACGCTCAGAGCCCGCCAACCCGCCCCCTTTGGCTCCTTCCTCCGCCTCGGCGGCGCGACTCTCATCAGCAGCTCACCCGAGCGCTTCCTCGAGTACGACGCCGACGGCTCCTGCTCCATGCGGCCGATGAAGGGCACCGTCCGCAAGTCGAACCAGGTCGCCACGCTCGCGCAGGCCGAGGCGATCCTGCACGTGCCCAAGGAGGAGGCCGAGAACCTCATGATTGTGGATCTCGTCCGGCACGATTTGCACGGCGTCTGCGGCTCGGGGAATGTTACGGTGCCGCATCTGATGAAAGTGGAGGAGTACGCGACTGTGTTCCAGATGATTACCATTGTCAACGGACAGCTGCCGAAGCTAAAGTCCTCGAGTGCCGATCGCCAACATACGGGGTTCGATGTCCTTGCGGCTAGTCTCCCGCCGGGCAGCATGACGGGGGCCCCGAAGAAGCGGAGCTGTGAGCTGCTGCAGGAGATTGAGGAGCATAGGGAGAGGAGTCTATACTCTGGCGTGGTGGGGTACATGGACGTCACTGGAAAAGGGGACTGGAGCGTCACGATCCGGACCATGTTCAAATGGGACGATGAAGCTGCGCCGCCGGAGGAAGGCGAGACGGAACCGAGAGAGGTCTGGCACATCGGAGCCGGCGGTGCCGTGACCATCCTGAGCACTGCTGAGGGTGAGAGGGAGGAAATGTTCACCAAGTTGGCGGGGCCTTTGGGCGTCTTTGCGGAAGCATGAGCGGATTTCAGGATCGGGAGACTGATTGCGAGGAAGGGAGGGACTGCTTTTAATTGGAATTGGCTTATTGGCGTTTATTTTGTCATGAAGGGGGACATTCATGGTAGGGGGTGTTTGGTTGATACCTCAACGTATCTGGGATATTAGACTCTGGACCTTCACGGGTATTAGACTCAACTTTTAGACGACCCGGATCATCCACACGAAAGAAAGTAGAAAAACAAGGTCATCATTAAAATAATCCATGTTTTGCGATATCAGCTTCCGCAGTTGGTCATTGGGGAATTAGATGGGTTTTGTCGTTGCATAACAAAAGCGGAAAAAAGAGGAAACGCCCGCCTGACGGAATGATGCTGGATATACATGTGAAGCCTCCAAGTAAAAGCGCACCCCGGATCCAAGTCCCACTTTGCCGGATTCCCGAACCCCAGCGCCACGATGGTTTCCGACCTCGTCTCGTCGTACTGTACACGTCTGCCGCCAATCTGGTTGAAATGCGTATGCCCCCCCTTCTCATCACTGCTGCTGCTGCTGCTGACACTACTTCTCCTTCGCCTATTCATAGCTGTATCAGGTGTCCTGAGTCGCTGCTCCCGATCCTAGTCAGAAATCCTGCTCCTCCTGAAAGAACATGCCGAAGCTGATGATGGTTCCGTAAATGAGGAGACCGCCGATTATCGACATGACCATGGCTTCAACCTGGATGAGATCGGAGTGGGCGAGAACGACGGGCAGGGCTACGGTAAAAGAGCACGGTTAGCAACAAAATTCTCTCAAAGAACAAAGACAAACAAGCCATAGGCAGATAGAAGCTCACCAATTCCCATAACCACCATAAAACCGGTGCAGAAAAGGCCGAGATCCAGCACGGCGGAGCCGGAACCCTCGCCAAAGTCATCAGGGTTGGTGCATCGCGAACAGACCCAGTTGGGAATCGGGGCCAGCACGTAGGTGGCGACGACGAGGAGCGGGTAATAGACCTTCCAGAGGGCGCAGGAGAGGATGACGAGGAGGAATCCGACGGCGAGGACGAAGGAGAGGGCGATGATGGTCTTGAGGCCGGCGGTCGGCATCTTGGCTGTTGTTGGAAGGTGGGCTGTGGTGTACTTGTTTCGGACGGGTATCGAAGTCGGAGCTGGGTATAAACGGCCCCGCCGGGGCTGCAAATCAATTTCTTGAGGGTGTGCTGGAAAGTCGGTTGAAGAATGCGAGCGGCGATTGTCTCTTGTAATTAGGCCGTCTTTTGAATGGTCGTGGGGGAGCTTCGTTGGTGGCGGAGGATGAATCGGTCGTGTCGGTCGTGTAGTAGTTCGCGGCGAGGCTGGCAGGCTGAGCTGCGATGCGATGGCGGGTCCTACCTTAGGCCTGACGCACGAAGGACGTCGTCAGCGCACGGCGCAACCTTGTTCCAGCAGCCGGGTAGCCTCCAATGGCAACCCGCAAATGGTAGGAGTAGGTCTCCACCCGGAAAGACCCCGGCTGTGAGTGAGGTCAGGAACGGAGTACATAGGTACGGGGCCAGGAAAGTGTACGTACCCCAACGAGGGATGCACGGAGCACCTTGCACCCCTGGCACCTGGCTCCAGGCTGAGAGAGTGCTACGAAAGCTCGACCTGCCTTGAGCTGGGCCTGGCGTGCGGGAGGGACGCTTTATTATCCACCAAGCTCTCTCGCTCTCCCATCACCGACCTGCTCGCCCAACAACCACCCCGCGATCACTTCTCTCCCTCCCGTCTCCCTCAACCACCCCCGAACCGCTACACGAATACTCGAACTTCCTCCTGCTCCCGGAAACTACCGAACCGCCTGACGAAGCTACGAATCACCCCTCACGCCCGCCATGTTCAGAAACAATTACGACAACGACTCGGTGACATTGTAAGCTGTTTGGCCCGCTTCCTCAGCCTTCCCTTCCAGTCTCCCCGATCCCGTCGTAAAAAGACCAGCATAAAGATAGAGAGCTAACCTCCAACGCCTTACAGCTCGCCGCAAGGCCGGATATTCCAGATCGAGTATGCTGCCGAAGCAGTGAAGCAGGGTTCCGTGGTAGTGGGCATTGCCAGCAAAACACACGCCGTTCTAGTAGCAATCAAGGTACGACGTTTACCAAAACCCGTGATACTCCATTTTGGCTCTCTCTACACCGTTCTCTATCAATCGATACTCGCGGACCTTTACCACGAAGCGCACAAAGCTAACATGCCATTCTTCCCCCGATAGCGCAACGCCGAGGAGCTGTCCTCGTACCAAAAGAAGATCTTCACCGTCGATGAGCACTCCGGCATCGCCATCGCAGGCCTCACCTCAGACGCCCGCGTCCTCTCCAACTTCATGAAGCAGCAGTGCCTCGGCCACCGCATGACGTACGGCCGCTCAATGCCCCTCCGCACCCTCGTCGACATGATTGGCGAAAAGGCCCAGATCAACACCCAGGTCTACGGCAAGCGGCCCTACGGCGTCGGCCTTCTCGTTGCCGGCGTCGACGAGCGCGGCCCCCACCTCTTTGAGTTCCAGCCCAGCGGTATGACGGAGGAGATGGTCGCCTTCGCCATCGGCGCCCGCAGCCAAATGGCCCGTACCTACCTCGAACGCAACATCGACGCCTTTGAGACGTGCTCCCGCGAGGAGCTCGTGCAACACGGCCTCAAGGCCCTCAAGGAGAGTTTGGTCCAGGACCGCGAGCTGACGGTCGAGAACACCAGTGTCGGTGTCGTCGGCTACACCGAGAAGGATGGCGTCAAGACGGTTCAGCCTTTCAAGCTGTACGACGGCCAGGACGTCAAGGAGTGGCTCGACAGCGTCGCCGCCAGCGAGGGTCAGGGCGGCGGCGAAGAAGGCGGTGAGGGTATGGAGGTTGACGGCTAAGCGCAGCGGGAATGGCAAATTGAGGAAAGAAGGCGCGGATGGAATTCTACGCTGCGTTGCGTTGGGCTAGGCCGGATCGTCGCCAAACAACCTACCTACCCAGGGTTTGGCTGACTGGGCTCGGCTATGGGAAGGAGACTCACCTACCCTGGACGCACGGGACCGGCCCGTTTAGACTTGTACAAATACACTGCAAAAAGGATATTCGACAGCCCAAGAATGAGCTGCATCCGATGATTCAAGAGACGAGAAGAAGACATGCAATCTTTGTGCTCGCTCATCACCCAGAATCTGAGACAGGTGCCTGAAGACGCAGGTTTGCTTTATTGGGTTGTGTAACTCATGAAGGTCTATCAAACTACAGTATGTGCAACCAACACCGATGTGACATGATAGATAGCCGACCGATCCCCCATTCCTACCCCTTTCCTTGACTGTCTTATCCCGTGTGTTACCAGCGATCGAAATCGAGGGAAAGGACTCACTTTCCTCGCTTCGCTTCTTTTTATCCGACCCGACTACCTACCGAGCCTGAACGTAGGGAAATTGGGAAACACGAAAGGGCGCCAAGACTCCGGTACGCATCCGCTTTTACATTGCACACACGCCGATCGTCGCATCTGTCTCCCCGTCCTTGATTTCCTGCACATGAGGTTCCGTGCTATCATATTGCCGTCTGACCTAGGAGTTGGTCCAGTCGAGCTTGAAGGTGGCCGCAGAGACCTGGTAGTCCCTAAGCGCCGTGATGGCGCCCTCGGGGGTGGTGGCGGTGACGAGGATATCGGCGTTGGCAGCCTTGATAAAGCCCTCCTCGACGCTCTTGTTCACCCACTCGAGGATGCCGTCGTAGAAGCCGTTGATGTTGAGGAGGCAGATGCCCTTATCGTGAATACCCAGCTGGTTCCAGGTGGCCGTCTCGAGGACCTCCTCAATGGTGCCGTAGCCGCCGGGCAGGGCGACGAAGCCGCTGCCTGGGCCGCCGGCGAAGACCTCCTTGGCCATCATCTGCTTGCGGGTGTGCATGTCCTTGACGACGGTGGTGCGGCCGTAGACGGTCTCGTCGGGGACGTACATGTTGTCCTTGTTGACGGTGCCATAGGTGCCGTCACGCTCGTACTTGACGAGGGCCTCGGGGATGATGCCGTGGACCGAGTCCGGGCCGGCGAGGGAAACGAGGGTCTTCGCCAACTCGCCCATCAGGCCGACGGTTCCACCGCCGTAGACTGAGATGTTTGTTAGTTTTACCATGAACTAGAGACACTTTTGCTTGAGATTTTTGTCTCCCATGTTTCATCTTGTCTGAGAAGGGTTGCGCCACATGTTGTCATTGATGTAGTGAGTGAGACTTTATCGCTGCCCAGTTCCGTGGATGAAGATGGGGAGTCGAAAAAGAGGCTTGTATGAGATGAGAAGTGAGAGAACAGTGACTCACCGAGGTCAATGTTGTTCTCCGCCATGATCCTTGCCAGCTCACGAGCGGCTTCCATGTGCTGAGGCTTGAAACCGGGAGAGGCGCCGCAATAGACACAGATCTTGGTCCTCTTTTGCACGCCCTTCGTGGTACCGTTGGTGCCGTTGGTGTTACTATTCGTGGTGGTTCCGTTGGTGTTGGTGCCGTTGCCACTGGGCGTGCCATCCCGGGATGCCGGGAACGATGGCAAGGGAGAAGGGCCGCCGGACTGCATGATGTTTGTCGCTTGCTTGGTTTGTGAGAAAATAAAGTTTTCCAATGAGAGGGATTTCCAAATAAACTAGATGTTGGACTTCGAGGATGGTTTTTCGTTGAAGAAAGGAGAAACTGATAGAGTAGGTAGCTTACGAGTGAGATGGTGCTCAGTCTTAACACTAAGAGACGCAGTTGTTGGAGGTGAAGATGACGGAGGATTTGTGGAGAAAGATAGTATGAGGTTCCGTTCCGGCCAAGAGAAAAGAGTCACAACGGTAAGAAAGTACCCGGAGGACGCCGCCTTTTTCTGCGGTATTTTCTCGAGGTTCTGACTTTTGAAGAAGAGTCCAAGTCCACAAAAAGATCAAGGAAGAAGAGCCCACGAGAGAGACTGGAAGTTAGGGGAGTAGACAGATGGCGGTGAAAAAGAGGCCTGTTATATACGTTCCTCTCGAGGCCCAAAAAGGAA